TAGAAGTATACAGTTATTTGTACAAAAAGATTTAATAATTGTTTATCATATAAAGCCATTTTTTAATGTTGAAACAAAAAAAAGATGATAAATGCTTTATGGCTTAAATAACAATTTTAAAATTTTAGTAAACGTAAGATAAAAAATGACATATTTTTCATACAGTTTTTTAAAATTTGACTATTAAGTTGGACTTAACAGATTTTATTAATTACTGTTTTTTTCATGCCTATTTTACACGTTAAATAAATGAGTATTATTTAGGGTTATTAAAATGAATTTTCTGTGAATCTTTTTGCCATTGAAATATTGTCGTTACAAGTGCTGAATTTGATTATGAAATTCCTATGGTATCGATAATTGAACATGGTGTTACAGAAGTTTTGTAATGACAAAATGAGCAGTGTTTTTATATGATGGATTAATTATACAGTTATCACTAACTGAAGAGCTGTTCAGTAGCACGTTCCAAATCCCAATTATATGAAGATAAAGCAACTCTTGCATTATGTTCTTCGATTCCCATATCTGTTAGTCGTCTTATTTTATCATCTAAATCAGGCATCTTTGCTGGTCCTATAATTATTTTATTTTTGCAATAATTAATAATTAATTTCAAGATATATAAGCAAAATTATTATGGTTATAATTAGAAATTATATACTTACCACCTGCATACACATATGTCCAATGTTTGGCAGTTTGACGAAACATTTCTGGGTGCTCTTTATATTGCCTAGCCACTACTGCATCCTGTGGATCATCTGGTTCTGCTGCGGATAATAAAGCCTGTAATGATAGCAATACTGTGCGCAAAGTCATGGCAGCAGCCCTAAAAAGCGATATTTAAAATATGAAATATGACTTAAAATATAAAAAATAAAAATGTTATATTTTATTCTTATTAAATATAATTACATACCATTGGTCTTTCAATATATCTAAACAAATAGCACCTGTTACTGAAGATATATTAGGATGCCATATTTTTGTTATGAATCGTACCTATAAAAAGAGAAAAAAAATATATATGATAAAATATAATAATTAAACGACAATAAATAATAAACTATTATATAAATATGTATATATTCGTTATATCTATAATTGATTCTTAATCATTTTTATAACATTTCATAATTAAATTTTTTAATATAAAATTGATATAATATATTTCTAATATTTTCAATTTCGCAATATTTTATACTTTATATCAATTTAAATTATAATATTATGAAATAAAAAGTTTTTATAGATATAAATAAAAACAAACAACTTGGAAAGTGCTTTGTCATGCTTTAGGTTATATTGACTTTTCTTAACTTTGAATAGAAGAAAATTGATACTTTATCATTAACATAATTTAATCATATTGACTTACAAAGTGCTTACTTTAGGAGGATTGAAGGGATATGTCTCGGGAACTTTAATCTCGAGCACAAAATTACCTCCCTCGTATGGTGTATCTGGTGGACCCGCAATCTCACCTTTTAATTCGGTAAAACTATCATTTACTAGTTCAACTTTAATTGCACATTTTGCAACCTATAACAACAAAATTTAAATAAATTACAAAAAACAAATATATATATATATTTATAATTATTACATTATATTTATATTATCATTAAAATTTTTTCAAAATATATTTACTTACATGAATGTGTCTACAATTTGTATGAAACAAAATTAATCTTACATTTTTTTTTTTAAATCTATAAACAAATGAATAATAAAAACACAAAAATCAATAACATGAAAGTATAATTGCAGGTAATTACATTGCAATTGTCTATTATGTATTAATATATAAAGAGTTATATAATTTTTGATATAAATTATAAAATATATAATGATTTTATTGAATAACAGATATAAAAATAGCATATAGAAAATAACACTGTAATGGCATATAAATGATTTTTGAAAAGTGTATGTAAAATATAACCAATGACCTAATGACATTATCATCTGATATTGAAATGATGTAATATCGTATACTAATAATTTACCATATTGTTGCAATATAAAGATTGAGACATTCTGGTGTATTCTACTTCTCTATAAACATGTGGAAATAATGAAAACAGATATATTTGTGTGCATATAGAATGGATCTTTTAGAACAGAAGAACGAGCGAATATGTCAATGCTCACAGAAATTAAAGACAAATGGTATGTATTATATTTCAACAAAATATTAATAAAAAAAAATTATTTGTCGATGATTAGCATCAAATATAAAACATAAATGTATTATTCTAAATAATTAAAATTGTATTTTAGTCCATTGAAATATCTGAAAAGTACAGAGAATTTATTTAGAATTATTTTTTTCTTAAGTAAAAATATTTAATAGAAATATTTTTACTGCGACAAAATATAAATGTTTAATTGGTGAATTTTAACGAGATTAAATGCTGATGACAGTCAAGAATACTATACAACAGGTGCCTATGCTTTGTTCGCGGTGATTTTCAACCAATGAATTGCGGCATTTTTGTCACGCCACACATAAAATATCTTTGGAATAGTATAACATAACTGTTCGAAAATTGTTAAGCAATTTTAATATTTATATCTTGAATACGAAACAAATCATATTTTTTTAAAATTATACAAAATTATTATTCGCTTACCTCTTCGCTTCTTATAACCTCTTTAAATTCGCGTTGGATTCTCAGTGCCGCGATGTTCGCCATAGCTTCCGAATCGGTGAGAGTCAGTACACTGTCATCGTCATTCGAATAGTTTAACGAAGTTCGCTGAATGCGTCAACGTGCACAAATCTTTAAGGTAATAGTGATTGAGCTTACTCTCTCTTTCTATTTAAAAAAACGATCGTTCTAAATCGTGTTCTATACTAAAATCTCCGTTCACGGATACATCCAATTTATCATTTAATCACTGCCGGCGCCACATTGATGAGAAAAGTTGACTGTCACCTGCTCGTGTTCACCCTTTTGAATTTTGTCTACGTTCACGTCATTGTCTGTATGGCGCCAATTTATAAATTGTTGAAAAAAATATGAATATAATGATAATAATTTAATTATTTTATGATTTACTTATATCTATCAATAAAGCATATTTAATATATCTTTATATTCTCGATAAAACGTGTTTAAAATTTAAACAAAAACGAACATCTATTGTTAAGATATTTTGATTAAGGTTATAACTTAGAACATGATAAATATTAATTATATTTTGAATTTATTTTGAATGACATAAGAATAAGCAAAAAATATAAATAAAAATAAATTTTAAAATTAATTGTAAAACGTATAGCAATTTGAAATGTTATGTTATAAAATTAACTGATTAAAATTTCTTTTAAATAAAGAATTAGATATCGAGGCAATCATATAATAATATAATATAATAAAAATATCGTCAATGATATTTCTGAATGTTATATAATTTTTATATATTTTTATATTTGATTTTAATTTATTATTTTGTTAATAAAAAAAAATACGATAAGAAATGCATTTACGCGGTTATAGGATTTACACTGAATGGGCGGAGCATAATATTTACATCATATCCGGTTTTAAAAACGTTCTCTGATTGGATAATCTCTTTGTGGTTTCTGTTTTAGTGATGCCTGTGTCTCAGCCAGTGCGTGCCAAGAGTTTGTTACGCGCAAACTTGGAAAATTCTCGCGGGCGACTTTTGCAGAGCAGAATGCCAAACATTAAAGTCTTTAGTGGCACATCGCATCCAGATTTAGCTCAACGCATTGTTGATAGACTTGGTATTGACATTGGAAAAGTTGTCACGAAGAAATTTAGTAACCTCGAAACATGGTAATAATCGTATTCATCGCTATAACCACGTTATTGTCATTGCGTTAAACTGAAGTTCTGACCACGTGTCATCTAAAATTTCACATAATTCTTTCTATCGAATTTATCTTTCCATAAGGAAAAGAACATTTTTAATACGTTTATCTTAATCATTCCATATTCTCGTTGATTTATCAACCCTGCTAATGTACAAACAACCCTGTCGCGCAAGGCCGGTTCTCTCAAATATCATCAAACCGCGATATTTAAGTTGAAGGTCAACTAGTACAATTATTAATATACATTCTAATAAATTTTGACAATAACGTAACTGTAAAAATATTACTATAAAAGTAATTATAAAATATTATAACGTATAAGTATATGATAAGTATATGATTTTATTGCCATGTTATTGTTTGTTCATATTTGGTGGTGTCATATTGTTGGTTCATACTATACTTTGCATTCATATTTATAAGTATTCTTTTAAATTCATTAATTTTTTATATAATGATATGTTTATGTATAATATATATTAATAAGATTATGATAATTATATTTCTTTCTTTCTTTCTTTTATTTTTTTTTCCTTTTTTTTTTCTTTTTTTTTTCTTTTTTTTTTTTTTTTTTTT